GATTTATCTGGATCTGAAAATAGGCGTCTTTCAGGTCTAGAGAGATGAACCAGTCCCCCTGGCGCACCTGCGCGAGGAGTTTCCTGGTAGTGAGCATCTTGAACGGTCTCTTCATGAGCACTTTGTTCAAAGACCTGAGATCTAAAATCGGTCTGAGGCCGCCGTCTTTCTTGGGAACCAGAAAATAACGGCCGTAAAACCCCGACTCGGTCATAGATGGTGGGACTCTCTCTATGGCTCCCTTTTGCAACAGCGTCGCAATTTCTGAGCGGAGCATGCCGGCGGCCAGCGGGCTGACAGTAGATTCGAGCCGCGCGCGCGCACGAGTCGGGCGGCGGCGAAACTGTAACAGATAGCCGTTCTTTATAATGCTTAGCACCCACGGGGAAATGCCTGGAATGGCTTCCCACGCTTTGGAGCATGCGGCTAGTGGCCGAATGGCTATATCGCCCTGATTGCTGCACATAGCGGGCTGGACACAGTGTGTGGGCGCGCTTTGAATGTGTATGGCAACGGGATTTGCACTCAGAGAGGAGTCTATGGGCCGTGAGACAGAGCGAGCAGAGAGGGGACACGCGCACAAGCTCGTGGGCGTGTTTATGTTCTCTGATATTAGAGCGGGCTGTGCCCGTTTCATGTGATGGGGCTCTGATAGAGACACGGGATATGTTATGCTTGTGTGTATGGGAGAGCACATGATTGTGGGCACATTTTCTACACAACTGGCAAATTTTCTCTTTTTGAGATTTCTCTGGGTAGCCGTAAAAACGGCTTTTTGTCGCTCGCAAGCGGGCTGGGACACCGGCTTGTTTGTGGCGGTCAACACTACAGCAGTCGGCGAAATAACGGGGACTGGCAGAGGGCGAAGCTTTGACGGCGGTCCGGCCGCAGCGGGAGAGCACCGTCGTTTTCTTGACTTTGCTAGGCAGACTTCTGATGATCAGGCTTCAGCGTGATCTTAGGTCGCGGGCCTCGTGGGGGCGGCGGTCTGCGGCGGCTGTCAGAGCGAGAGCGAGGGCGGCTGCCCTGTCTGCGCTGGGCTGTTTGAGTCTGCGGAGGGGGGCGCTGTGGTGGAGCTCTGGCGGGAGGCTCGCGAGAGCGGCCCGCGGAAGAGCTAGCGCGGCGGGGCAGAAACAAATTCATCGCCTGAGTTGCTTTCTGGACCTCGGAAAAGCGATCGACGATTCCCGTGACAGCAGATCCAAAAAGGCCCGTCGGGGAGAGGGGCGCGTTAAGAAACGCGGCGCGCTCAGAGTCTCCCATGTCGGCGAGCGTGAGCCATAAGTGTCTCTCGGCTACACAAAGGCTGGCCATGCATCTCCCCAGAGCTTGTGCGGCGGCTTTAGTGGCGCGAAGGGCGAGGTCCGTAGCACTTCTCAGATCCGTGACAGCGGGGGAGGGGTTTTTACCGCTTTCGGCCCACTCACGGAGAATATCGCTCTGTAATACTTGGAGGACAGACATAGAATGTAGCGCTGCGGCGGCCTGACCGGCGGCGGCGCGAGCATGAAAGCTCGAGGTCACTCTGCAGGCTTTCGAAGGAAGCGTGGGGGAAGAGCGCCATCTAGCAGAGGGCGGGCAGAGGTGTGCGGCGACCAAGTCCTCAACGGGCGGCATGGCTGAATAACCTTTTTCGGCGGCTCCGTCCACCGAGCGCAGCGAGGCGGAAATATCGGAGCGGTTTCTAGCCGAGAGCGGGGCATTCCAGGACTTCGTCAGCTCTGTGTGAAGTTCAGGCAGGAATGGGGCGGCCCGGTTGCACGCGGGGGTCGAGAGCCGGTGAAAAAAGCTGCCGTCCATCCGGTTCGGGGCCTGCTCGGGTGGATGAGACCACTCGAGACCGAGGCGTTCGACGGCCTGTGAGAGGAGGCGCATTAGTTCCTCCTCTATCCCGGCGCGGGTCCCCGCCGACTCTCTCGTGGATCCGAGAGATGACCATTCTTCACTGTCTGATGCGAGCAGTGAACAGGAATCCTTCTCCTCCGCGGCGTCATCGGAAGCGACAGAGCGGCCACTCGGCGGCAACTGTATGTCCGGCAGGGGCGGGGAGGGAGAGCGGGAAGCGGGAGGCGGCGGCGGCGGCCCGCATGGTTCCGCAGGGGGCTCCGGCGGCCTCTGGGAGCGGCGTTTCTTCTTACGCGGCGAAGAGGGAGGCGGCGCGGGAGCGGATTTTGCTGCCAGAAGTCGTGCCCGCAGGGACGACAACGGCAGGCTCTCACAGAAGTCGCATCCTCCATCCGCGAGGGCGAGTTCTGCGTGCTCGAGTCCCAGGCAGAGAGCGCAGATGACGTGGCGGTCTCCGTCCTCGAGACGAGCGCGGCAAGAGCCGCAGGAAAAACGAGACATCTTTAAAAAGACGCTCGGCTCTTTTAGATATATAGAGAAGGATACAGTCGTCGGATGGCGCTAGCTTGCAGGGCGGCTGAAGGTGGCGAAGACGGCCGGCTTCTTCAGGGTCCGGGAGCTCGCTAGAATGATGCCTTCTCGACGGCGACGGCTTTCTCAGGACAGCAGAAGCGTGCAGCTTGCTGAAGATGAAATGAATCAACATATAAGCCTGGGAGAGACTGTTATATACACCATAGCCACGCCCATTCTGGCGGGCCATGACGCAATGAGCGCGCGGGCGCCTCTCATTGGAAGCGGGTTCAGCCCCGCTCTCCCATAGGCTTAAGCAGTTCTCTCTGAGCGAACCAATGAGCTGCTAGCTAGCCTGCTCTAGGTCTACCGCAGAGGAACTGCGTTGTTCAATGGATACAAATTATGAAATAATTTTTTGGCTTCAATATCTCAGCAAAGATGAATCTTTCCCGCAGCGTAAGCTAGCTTACGCAATACGAGAGAACCTCTCGTAAGAGAACAGCACTTCCAAAATGCTACACATGCTAGCAGTGAATAGCTACATGCTAATAGCGATTAGTTACGTGTTAAATCATAACTAGAACATGCTAAGAACTCTATAAAAACAACATGAATAAGCCATGTTTCAGCTCCACAACATCGTACAGACATGGTTGTTGGCTCGTATGCAATTATGTACCACACTCTAGCAACCGAGCGGCGAGTTTTGCCACTGCAAGCACCACTTCACATTTTATTCTGGAAATGTACATTCTAGTTGAATGAACGAAATGACTCGAAAAAAGATTCGTTCATTTTGATGAACGAGTTCGAACAGGAGAGTCACGAACGTGCATCACAGAACAGAGCAAGGCGAGCATTTGTGCTTTTAAGACGTAAACTTTTGTATTTATTTTTGAAATGACCGATCGTTTCGCTAGATAAGACCCTTATGCATCGTCTGGTGTCGTTTAAAGCCCTTTGAAGCGGCACTGAAACTGTCTTTTGGACCTTGAACCGTTTGGGTCCCACTGAAGTCCATTATATGGAGAAAAATCCTGGAATGTTTTCATCAAAAACATTAATTTCTTTTCAACTGAAGAAAGAAAGACATGGACATCTTGGATTTTTCATACATCAATGGAAGGCTTATTTCTTCAGTGTTCAGCTGATGTATAAATCTAAATTTCAAAAAATTGACCCATGCGACTGGTTTTATGGACCAGGGTCACATTTAGGTTTCACTGAGCTACAAAGAAAGATATGGCTGGCTGGTCTAACATCTGCCAAAAAGATAATTGCGCAAAGATGGCTCCCTCACAATATTCAGTTTCATGATATAGTAATGTTAAAACGTTCAATGGCTAGAATAAATAAAGCTAGAGCCTCCAGCCTTGAGGTATGGAAAGCTGCTGCTGCAGTGAACTGACAGGAAAGCTTCTAGATGGAAGAATTTAATTTGAGGTACAATTTGAACATGTAAACCTCTGATTATCTGTGTGTTTCTCATATTGCTCATATCAGCTGTATCTGTGTTTTGTATTTATGCATCTATTTTTTATATATATTTTATTTTAGGTAATTTGTTTTGATTGCAATTTTACTACAAGGATCAGTAGATTGGACTGCTGGGGGGTTCAGGGGGTCAATTTTTGTTCTGTGTATTGTGAAAAACCTTTGGGTAATCTTATCTATGAAAAATCAATAAATGAATCCCCACAAAAATAGTTAATTTATTATATAAGCATTTATTAACACACTAAGTAACTATTATTATATGTCTGAATAATAAGATGTATGAATGTACATTTAAATAGTATATTAATCATTTACTTACACTTTCTAAGTAATCTAATGAACCACTGACAACTCTTAAATAACTGGTTTATAAATAATGCAATACTTCATTTAGAAATGATAAATTGAGTATTAATAAAGTATGAAAATACAATTATTAAACACATTATAGATATGCTTTTAAATCGAGAATAAAGCAATTATAGCTGTATTTATAAACTGCTTATTAATGTATATTAATGCTTTATAAATTATGAATTAACTGATTACTAATGCTTAACTAATGATTAATAGCGTGCAGTTATTATAAAGTGTTACCCACTTATAGTATTGTTATTGTTATATGTATTGTAAGTATAGTGAAGTTGTACTTGAGGCATTAAGGGCAGAGGGGAGAAAAGCAGAGCTGTGGGTTTTATATATACAAGATGTTGTATCTGCACAAAATGCCAATAAATATATTTATTAATAAATATATTTTGAAATAAGAAAAGTCGGATATGTGCACATATGTCACACCACTGGACCTCACCTAACACAGTCCCTTCTTCAGACATACTACATAAGTTCCAAAACTATTTTACTGATGAAATCGCAGGGGAGCGCTGACATTACATTTCTGTGCACTTGTATGAGCACTGTGTGTTCTGTTTGTGCGTTTTTATGGGAGAGCGGGATAAGGTGAATACAAATTTATTTTGTAGGAAAATCATGGCAATGGTTTGTGATTAATATCCTGTTTGTTATATTTTCTTTGTCTTTGTGGGTTTTGGTTCTTTTGCTGTTGTAGGCTGTCAACCTCTGAAATAACTGAAATCATTTTGCAAAGTGATATGTTAATCAACTCTTCATGCTCTACATACTTGAGTTTATCCAGTCTGTAGTTTGGATCGTTGAGTTTATCAGAGAGCAGCTTGACTCCTGAATCTCCAGGGTGGTTGTAGCTCAGATCCAGCTCTCTCAGGTGTGACGGGTTTGAACTCAGAGCTGAAGACACATAACCACAGCCTTCCTCTGTCACCATACAGCCAGACAATCTACAAAGACATACAGCAACAGTCCACATGACATTAGTTTGGCAATCAGATGTTACTATCATACACTGACCTTGGTTCCAATTCCTAAAAGAAGAATAAGCCTAAGTTGATTGTAGAGACCATTGGTGGCAATTGTTCTACAATCAACTTACAATGCTTTTAGGAAACTCAGCCCAGTGCAGTTTGTATTTGCAGCTGTTATTTTCTATAGATTCAGTCACAAATGTGTCTGTGGAAATGTACCAGCATAAAAATATTACTTTTCTAAATGTAGTTTAGTCGTCAGACACATTTATACATATTTGCATTATATAAATTGTTACTTGAACATTTATACCTATTTCAGACACTCCCAAAACTGATGAAATTATTAGAGGAATTTGGTTCCATTTCGGGTTATACAATTAATATCAATAAAACTCAAATATTAAAATTTAAATATGACCCACCAGCCTCAATTAAGACCAAGTACAATTGGAAATGGGAGGCTGATTCGATTAAATATTTGGGTGTTTTATTACCTAGGGACTTCTCAAAATTGTACGACATCAATTGTGGCCCATTAAATTCAAAGATAAAATCTGATATACAAAGATGGAATGTTATTCCCTTCTTAAGTTTAAGTTCCCGGATAGAGTCAATCAGAATGAATATTCTTCCATGGATGTTATACCTTTTTCAATGTCTGCCAGTCAAAATACCACCTAAGCAGTTCTTAGAATGGGACAGATTAATAGCGAGGTATTTGTGGCAAGGGAAAAGGGCCAGAATTAAATTTAAGACACTGCAACTAAGAAAAGAGAAGGGTGGAATGGGCCTTCCTTGCCTACAGGATTACTACCACGCAGCCCAACTGAGACCTTTAGACCGTGTGTCTACCAAAGCATTTTTTCACGCAGCTGGCGTATATTTCCAATTGTTTTCAATGGGAGCGCCATGTTTTTTAAACGCCATGAGCGTAACGAGGCGCTGAGCGTTTTTTTTCACGCTGAAGCGCTGAGCGCGCGGCGTTTTTACTGGTCGCCGAAGAGTTGAAAAATGTTCAACTTTGGGTAAAACGCAGCTCTCATCACGGTCACGTTTTACCCAGCCGTCCAATCACAGTGGAGGAGGGGCGGGACAAATACCACACCGACCAACTGTCACAACATTCTTTCTGTACAACGACATCAACCAGCAGAGCTAACCGAACAAAATGGATGAAAAATAATTTTTTAGTATGAAACAAATTATCTGCGAAATCAGTTACAAGTAAACTGTGCTGCGGATATTCTGTATCATAGCAACGAATTGTCTCAACTGAAAAAACACTGCTCTGCCAAAATGCTCTCAAGCGCCCACAGCTAGGCGTTTTCAGCAGAGCGTCTAGCATTTTCAGCTGGCTAAAAACGCTTTGGTGGACACACGGCCTTAGTCTGCCTGTGTTCACCAACTTACACTGCAGCATGGAAAGATATAGAAAGTACGATGTTAAACGAAATTCCAATGACAGCCCTACTAAGTGATAACAAATTACTAGAAGAACAGGAAATCCCAGACGATTCTATAATGGGTAGCTCTCTGAAGTCCTGGCAGGCAATAGTTAAAATTTGCAGATTAGGAGAAGCATCCAAAAATATGGTGATAAAAGAAAATAAAATATAAAAATATAAACACGATAGAGCAATAAAAAATATAAAAGCGATAGAGCAAAGCACGGAGCAGTAAGCAAGAGCGTCCGAACAGTAGCTGAGCAGGAAGTGAATCTCTTTTTATTTGGAAGAGCAAATACCCATCACATACATTAATTACAACTTTGGTCGTTCAACTACATATGTAAGGGTGGATTCAGAAAGTTTAAATGAGATTGTCCATATTGCCCTTCTGAAATTTTCTTTTACATACTACTACTTATTCAGTTGGGAACAATAACAAAGCATAACAGAATCGGGTAGCGCACCACTTCAGGTAATGAAAACATCACATAAAAAGAGGGTAGGTCTACACAAAGCACAAGTACATTCAAATGAAATCAGATCTAATTGGTTTTACGTACTCAGTTCATTTGGTCCAAATCATGTAAAACTTTTCTTTTTCAACTTTAAGGGAAAAGGATATCTTTTCCATACTATAAATCTCATAGACAATTTCAATCCATTCATCAATGGTGGGTGGGTCTACTTTTAACCCTTTCCTCGTAACAGATTTCTTACTGGCTGCCAATAATATCGCCAGCAGTTCCCTTTCGAAGGGAACTCAACAATACGTCATCGACGTTATGGGGGAACGCCTCAGGCGTGACAGGTGTCTGAAATCAAATATCAACTCACAGCAATCATGTTGACCGGCGACAGCCCGTGCATCATCAGCTCGAATGATGAGCGCGTCAATCTGGATGTATAAAAAGGGCGCCTTGAAACCGTGACAACATCCTTTCGTCTTCAGGGACTGTTTGTCTGTTTGAAAATTAAATCAACGTTCAAGATGAAGCGTACAGAGAAGCGGCGTAATACCTTCCGCAAGTGTGCTGACCCGTGTCCTAGATATTTGACACCGGAAGATTCACACGATCTGTGCGTGTTTTGCCTGGGGGAAGAGCATGCGCGGGAAGCTCTCGAGGGAGCTTTCTGCGCGAACTGTGAGAGGTTTACGATCAAAACTCTCCGCTCTCGTCTGTCCCACTTCTCGAGGGAAGTGGCGCGGCATCTGAACCCCGCGGTTCCGGTCCCGCTCGGGCTGAGGCTCAGCGGCGGTTGAGCTCGTGGGGTTCTCAGATGGAGCTGGCAGATCATCTGGAGAGGGGTGTTAACCTCTCGGATGATCTGCCAGCTGATGAGGGTGAGTTACAGGTCGATGTTGAGGAAGTTCTTTCTCTCTCTGATGGATCTGTAACTGGTTCTCTTCGGGCCGGCCAGGAGGTGGGTGTTGATGATGTTAGTTTGGTTGAGACCGAACCATCTCAGCCCTCCTGCCCAGTGTACGCTGAGCTGGTGGATGTTATGGGGCGCGCCACCGACAGATTGCAGCTGCAGTGGAGGCGCGTCCGGGAGGAACCTGTTCGTGGTATTTTGGACGATCGGTTCCTCCCCACCCGTAAGCCACCGGCTCGGACGAGCCTTCCATTCCTTCCCGATCTCCACTCTGAGATCGAGAAGGCATGGAAGAACCCGTTCTCCGCGCGTCTCTATCTACATCAGCGAGCTAGTTTCGCTGCTGTGGAGGGAGCCGCGGAGCACGGGTATGTGTCGATGCCGCCAGTGGACGAGACGTTGGCTAACTATCTCGCCTCTGGTCGTTCGTCTTCACTAGAAGCTCCGACCCTGCCATCCAAGCCGCTCAGGACAACTTCGCGCTTGAATGGCAGAGCGTACACGGCAGCAGGTCAGGCGGGTGCGGTTCTGCACACCCTCGCGGTCCTTCAGGCCTACCAAGCCGACCTGCTGCGGGACCTCGATCAGGGGGCCGGCCTGTCCCCTGACGCGGTCGCGGAGCTGCGCCGCACCACGGATTTGACTCTCCGGGCCACCAAGCAGTCTGCGGTTTCCATCGGTCGTGCGATGGCTGCTATGGTGGCCACGGAGAGGCATCTGTGGCTCAACCAGGCTGACATCGGGGAGAAAGAAAAAACTTTTCTCCTCGATTCACCGGTTTCGCCTTCCGAGCTTTTCGGACCTTCTGTCGAGACAGTGGTCGATAAGTTCAGGGAGGTGAGGGCGCGCTCTGCGGCGTTTAAGAGCTGCATACCGCGGAGGTCCTCGGCCCAGCCCAGGCAGGCGGGAGGGCCTGGTCCGTCGTGGTCTGAGGATCACAGACGGACCCAGAAGGCCAGTGTCGCTTCCCGTGCACCCCCTCCTCCTAGCAGGGGGAGCAGGGCGCGCAGGAGGCGTAACTCCCGCGGGAGGCAGGATCTCAGGGAGGTGATCCAGAGTAAGCGTTCTCAGACTGAACGTTAGACATCACCTTCCTGGATCTTGTCTCCTAACCACCATCGCTCCCAGGCTCCTCCTACATCAGGCCTGGGGCGGGGCCCATGATGAGTTCAAGAATTCTCTGATGGCCCGCTTCAGCTTGGTTGTTAGGAGCGCCTTGGCTTGTGAAACAGTAGAATTCAGGTTTCTGAGTTCCTGTGTCCTGGTGTGCTTCATTTCGCACGTTGCAGGTTTTATGTTGAGTGAAAATGTTTTTTCTGCGCAAATAACATTTTTCTCTTCTTTTTCAGAACTCGTCTCCTGTACAGAGCCGGGGACATGTTGGTAAGCAAAGGTAATGTATTGTAAGGTGAGCTGAGCTCCCACATGTTGTGGTCGCCAGGTTACAGGCCTCACCAGGCCTTTCAGGCTATGAGCTTCCATATGTCAGGTCACAGGCCTTATCCAGCCTTCCTGAATATGAGCTCCCACATACTGTAGTTATTAGGTTATTTTTTTTTATTTTTTATTATTTATTTATCGGGGACAACACACAAAATACATTAATCTTGCGAAAAGATGTTTTGTGCCAGAGTTAGCCGAAGCTAATTTTCATCCGCAGTCCCCGGGCAGGTGCACACAATTTTTAAAACATTACATTACAAAACCACTATCAATAGTAAAAATAATGACAAATAGGCTACACATAATATTAGTCAACGAAAATCATATAAAAACAAACAGATGTTCAAAATGAGAGAACATATTCAAAAGACAATCTCTACCCATAATATACATTAAATGTGCTGATGCTGACACAGCTGGTTCTCAAGGATGTATTTCTTTAAGTGTTGAGAAAAATGGTTCAGATCTATAGACATCTTTAAACTGTTAGGGAGTTGATTCCATTGTTTAATGATTTTAAATGAATAAGCTGTCTGTGCAAAGGCGGAGGATCTTTTCGGGATGGCAAGATTTCTGTGAACAGTGGATCGGGATGTTCGGTTCGTTTGTTCCGAATAAAGTTTTATGAATTTTTTCATCGAGGGAGGAGCTAGATTATTAATAATTTTAAAAACAGTTCTCAAATTTGTAAATTGAATTAGGGAATCA